CATTTTAAGTTTTCATGTAATCAATTCTATTGATTCTTTTATAGTTTCTGCCTCTGGTCATGCCAAGAAAAGCCTTCCCCACCCTGAAAATCAGATCAATAATTTTTATTCTCTACTATTTTCAAATGCTTCTTAATGGTTTTGCTTTTCACATTGAAGGTTAGACCCATTTGGAATTTGTTTAGATGAGTGTATAAGGCTAAATTTACATGGGAATTTTTTTCCCCCAGATGATAAGCCAGTTTTCCCATCACCTTTGGAATGACTGTCCAGGCCACACACTATATTCTAATTTATTTATTTGGGTCTCTTTCTCGATTGTCTAGCTTCTCCCATTGCTTTGCCTATCCTGTGCTTGTACCTTTCTATTTCAGTTATTGTAAATTTATAATATATTTAATATTTTGCAGGACAAGTCCTGCTTCATTGCTTTTTCCTGACTCTTCAAAGTTTTCTCAGATGGTAGCCTCCATAATTTCCTTTGTCACTTGCTTCTAGTAGAGAATGGATACTGTTGACACCTAGGGGTAGTAATGAGTATGTCCCCTCATCTCACATACTCAGGGTGAAAGAACTCCAGCCTAGACACGACCCATTTCTTGCCTTGGGTCTGATTTGGTTTAAATCAGTAATGAAGCCGATGGAAAGGAGAGCAGGTCTGCCGTAGACAGCAGTTTGGGGGATGGGAAACAGCACCTTGGAAAATATGGCTGGAAGTTAAGGTTATTTAAACTCAAAAATGTGGTGAAGAACCAGCCTGATGAAGTCCAGGCTTTCACATTCGAGAGAAAAGGCAGACAGTTTTTAAGGTGGGGAAGGCCTTGAGCAGGCAGAGCAGAAAGCAGTCTAGAAGTCACGTGTTGATGGAATCAACTGCATGGTAGTGGCACATTTAGAATGGCAAGAATGATGCTGGGACTGAAAAGGGGCAGCGTGGTACAGAACAAGCAGGCGATGGCCTTCCTGCCCCTGCTGTGGGCCCGCCTTCTCCAAGCTGGGCGAGCACTGTGTTCTGCTGTTCCTGGGGTGGGTGAGAAACCTGGTGGTTTTAAAAGGTTAGCCAAGAGGGCTTCCCTGGTGGCGCAGTGGTTGGGAGTCCGCCTGCCGATGCAGGGGACACGGGTTCGTTCCCCGGTCCGGGAAGATCCCACATGCTGCGGAGCGGCTGGGCCCGTGAGCCATGGCCGCTGAGCCTGCGCGTCCAGAGCCTGTGCTCCACAACGGGAGAGGCCAGAACAGTGAGAGGCCCACATACCGCAAAAAAAATAAAAAAAATAATAAATAAATAAAATAAAAGGTTAGCCAACAGATTAGAGGACCTAGAATTATTAATCTCAGAAAAGAGCAAACAGAGGAATAATTTGAGCTTTAGGAGAGTTCTCACACAGAAAAGAGTAAACAGTTAATCTCCCTCTGGGCTGAAAACAGGAAATTTGTGATAAAAACCACTTACTTTACTGTGATGACAAAACATCATGAATGAAAGGGCCTTTCATTGATAGCCTGAAGGGCTGAGTGCAGAGATACAGTAAGTCCCCTACTTACGAACCTTCAAGTTGTGAGCTTTCAAGGATGAGAACGTGCATTCGCATGTCCAATCATGTAAGTTAGTTCACGTGTCTGGCGTACGTCGTCACGTGCGTGCATCCTCTACAAGTGGTTGTGCTTTTGCGTACTTTACAGAACTGTAGAGAGTACAGGAGTACGGTATCTTTATTTCAAGCCCAGGATGACCAGAAGCAAGCGTAAAAGCCGCAGTGATGTAGCTGGTACTGCTAAGAAGCACCAGGAATTGGAGGCCCAGAGAAAGGGTGAAGAGAGACAAGAGGAAGAAGAAGTAACTGAAGAACTGAAGAGATTCACGACACAGGAAATGGCAAGGGGATTTCCTTTATGTAAGGAGGCACCGTTAGTTTTTGAGGCATAGCACCTGCACGTAGAATGGTACACGAAGGTTGCAACAGCCGTTCAGGATGCAATCCAGTGCTACCATGTCATCTACGATGAAAAAAAAGAGCTACTACCCAGATATCACTGGATCGTTTTTTCAGGAGGGTAGATAGAATTGAATCCAGCAAGGAACCAGGACCTGTGCCATCAGCGTCACGCATGAGTGAAACTGCGGCTTGCCCTCGTCTCCTGTTGCTGACGATCCTTCAGCTCTACCATCTCCCACCCTCTCTCCCTCCTCCAGTCAGTAACTCTCCTTGCCTGTTCGCTCGATGCCAGCCCCTGGATGCCAGCTGTTGTACTGGACTGCTGTACTTTTCAGGATACTGGACTGTAAGATTAAAAACGTTTTCTTTATTTTTGGTTTGTTTGTTTTTTATGTATTATTTGTGTGAAAAGTATTATAAACCTATTACAGTACAGTACTATATAGCCGATTGTGTTAGTTGGGTACCTAGGCTAACTTTGTTGGACTTACGAACAAATTGGACTTACAGACTCACTCTTGGAACGGAACTTGTTTGTATGCAGGGGACTTACTGTACTCAAATGCTCACATTTCCCTGGGAAACCTGGTGGGGGCTTTTTAAACTGCATTTTCCCCTCTCCCCATTACCGCTGCAGGGAGCTGGTCGTGTCTTCCTCAGGGGTGTCAGTTATAGAATCTCTTACTGGACACCTCTTGGAAACAGCATAGACCTTCAACACCATAGTGTGGGATCTTAACTGTAGGTGGGGGATTGTTCCCTAACAAACACACGGATTTATGGAAAACATAATTTGTGTGGTGTATCTGGGTGACTTTGGAAGAAATTCTAGACTTAGCACTGTTTAGTAAGAGCTATAGGGGACTCTCACTCGTCCACCTGGTCTTAGATGCCTGGGTTTCCCCGGTGTTCACCCTAGGCCCTCATCTCTTCTCAGATGCATTTATACCTTCCCCCATGGGCAACCGTAGCCTCTTCTACTGATGACTGACCCCATATCACCATCACAGTTTGCTCCTAAGCTCTAGACCCGCATTTCTAACTGCCTGCTGGACGATTTCACAAGCACTTCAAACTTAACAGGTCTAGAAGTGAGCTGCGTCTGAACCTTCCCTGCAGACCTTGATGAATGACGTCACCACTGACTCAGTAGCCAAAACCAAAGCCCAGATTCCTTCCCCTTGCTTATCTTCCACCACCTTCTGTTCCGTCTCTGCCCTACATGTCTCCTCCATCTGCCCCCTCTTCTCCCTTCCGAGTGCCATCACTCGCTTCAGACCTCAGGCACTTCTTACCTAGATTTTGGAGAACCTGTGCTTTTGCTCTTTTCCAATTCATCCTCCAACAGGCAGTCCAAACTGTATTTCTAAAATACACACCTGCTAAGAATCGTTAGATGGCTTCTCATTATTTCTAGGACCTCAGATCTGGCCTATACTCACATGTCTCACTTTATTGCCCACTTCTACCCAGCTGGGACTCAACCTTTCGGACACACTGGACTCCTGCAGTTCTGTCTCTGCCCTCACTCTCTCTTACCTCCTGCCCCTGCGTATGTCTGTTTCTGTGTTTGATGGGCTCACCCCCCTGCCCCTGGTGTTCTTCCTCTGCACTCCCACCACCCTCTTGTGGAACTTTATCGTAGTTCCAAGCACTGCCTGTTTATAAGACTTTCTCCACTATTAGACTCTGAGCTCCTGGAAAGCAGAAACCATGTCTTCCATAGCTGTTTCTCCCAGCCTCACATAGAGGTGCATAGAGGTGGCTAATAAATATTTGTTGCAAGGCAGTGTATGAATAACATATTCAGTAGAGCTTTAAAAATCGTCTAGGAAGGTCTAAGTTTTTATTTATTATAATTTGAATTGAGAATCTCCACCCCAAAGCTATTTTCTAATTGGGTAAATAGAGTCTTGAGTGTCTATTTTGGCCTCTTAGTACTAATTTCACTGTGGCAGGATTCAGAGGAATTTCAGGGGAGGGGGTGTTCATATTTTTTTCTTTCTCTTTCTTCCTCCCTCCCTTTATAAATCTTATCCACTTGATAGCACTGTGGAGAAGATTAAATGAGATGAGGCATATATAGGACACATCTATAGATGTGTTGTGTGCCCAACACATGTAAGCTGTGTTACTCACAAGGCAGAGTGGCAGCTGGTACATTTATACCATGAATATAACTCCCAGTTAGAAGCTAGAACGCTGGTGTCAGCCAATCAACCAACATTCTCCTCCCTGTGGAATATCTATTTGGGAAATCTGGTTGCTGGGGAGAGCAAGATAAGGACAGACAGCTGTGTGATTATAAAGGCTCTAGAAGTCTAGGGAATTCCCCGGTGGTCCAGCGGTTAGGACTCTGTGCTTTCACTGAGGGCACAGGTTCAATCCCTGGTGGGGGAACTAAGATCCCACGAGCTGCACGGCGCAGCCAAAAAATATATATATAATAATAATAATAATAAATAAACTGTTCCTAAAGGATCTAGAAGTCTGATAAGCTGGTCTCCCCACCAAATAAGAACCTATTTACCAAGTTAATTGAAAGGCCCACAGCATCCACCATCTGTCAGTGCTGGGGCATCATTTTTTTTTAAAATTGTAATAAAATATATACAACATAAAATGTACCATTTTAATTATTTTTTCAGGACACAATTTATTGGCATTAAGTGCATTCACAATGTTGTAAACCATCACCATTATCTATTCCTAAAATGTTTTTTATCACCCCAGGCAGAAACTCTGTTGACCATTAAGCAATAACTCCCCATTTCCTACACACCCCCTCAACCCTTGGCAACCTCTAATCTATTTCTGTCTCTATGGATTTACCTGTTCCAGATATTTCATGTAAGTGGAATCACGCAATAGTTGTCCTTCTGTGTCTGGCTTATTTCATTTAGCCTAATGTGTTCAAGGTTCATCCATGTCGGAGCATGTGTCTGAATTTGCTCATCTCTTCTTACATGAAAACTTTACTCTTGATGCCCCATGAGGACCACTTTTTTCATGCTTCTGCTCGTTCTGATCATACCCCCTTTCTTCTTTTCAACATGTTTTCAGAGCCTCCCCTTCCGGAAGTAGACTTTTTCACTGTGCATGGAGGGCCTTTACCACGCCTGAGACTGAGGAAAGCCAAGGAGAAAAATGGACCCATCAGGTCAGTAGAGGCCTCTTTTCCATGGCTGCCCAGTGATCTCCATGGAGTGTTTTGAAAACTTCAGTTTGAGTGAGGAGGAGACTTCTCTTTAGGTGGCTTCACTGGAGTAGTTGAGTCAGTGCAGTCAGTGCCTCATTTTTTGTTTCCTTGGGTACAGACTGGGCCTTTAATTCCAGCTAGCACCCTCCCTAATGAATAGAGAGACTTGTAAAAGACCAGAGACAAGCATTTGGGCAGCTGAGCTCGAGAAATTAAATCCGTTCCATTGGTCATTAGATGAGCACTGGTTGGGTGCCTGTGACATGTCAGGCTATCACTTTGCACTCACGCCTCCAGGTACATCCTTTAGTGATGGTGGATCAGGAACATCATTTCATTTACCAAAAAGACAGAATATATTTTCCCTTATTTAAGGATGATCTTGGGGGGGGGTGTAGTGCTTTCTTATTTATTTATTTTTTTATTGAAGTAGAGTTGACTTACAATGTTGTTACAATCTCTGCAGTACAGCAGAGTGACTCAGTTATACACGTACAGACATTCTTTTTTTTAAATATTCTTTTCCATTATGGTTTATCACAGGATATTGAATATAGTTCCCTGAGCTGTACATTAGGACCTTGTTGTTTATCCATTCTAAAGTAACAGTTTGCATCTACCAACCCCAAACTCCCAGTCCATCCCTCTCCCTCCCCCACTCCCATGTGTGTAGTGATTTCTGGAAGAGTCATTTGGATAATTCTTTTAATTCATTCACGTATTGAGATGTGAGCAAGACACTGCATTGTTAACAACTGCTTCTGGGACTCCAGGTGGTATTAGGATGGAATGAATTTACCTCAGTTGCTGGACTACCTTGTGTGCAATTAAGCTTTTTATTTACAAAGGTCATGGCAGGATTAGGAAAGCAGAATTATTCCCTTTTTAGAGAGGAAAATTGAGGTTTGCCTGGAGAGATGAGTAACTTAGTGACAGTAACAAATCAAGGAGATGGCAACATCTTGACCTAACTTATACTGTTTCCTTGATCTAACTTATACTGCCTATGTCTCTCCTGACCCTTCAGTCTAATGACCCTGCTGTACAATCAAGGTAAAATTCGTGAGGTATCACAAAACTATAAAAAAGAAAGTCTATAGGGGCTTCCCTGGTGGTGCAGTGGTTGAGAGTCCACCTGCCGATGCAGGGGCACGGGTTCGTGCCCCGGTCCGGGAGGATCCCACATGCCGCAGAGCGGCTAGACCCGTGAGCCATGGCCGCTGAGCCTGCTTGTCCGGAGCCTGTGCTCCGCAACGGGAGAGGCCACAACAGTGAGAGGCCCGCGTACCGCAAAAAAAAAAAGAAAGCCTGTCGATATTATGTGTCCATTTGTAATGAAACTTGAGCTTTTTTATCTATTAGTTTGAGTTCAGTAAGTGCTCAAAAGTCTTTCCAGGCATGGATATGGCCTAAGTTGTTCTGTTTCTTGATTCCTGACAAGTTACTGGAAGGCATTGTAATTCTGTTGCTATAAGGAGAACAGAAGTTGTGATCTCACTGCCTGAGAGAATTTGCAAGACGCACGTGATATTTAGGCCAGATGATTATGTAAGGCAGAAAGAAAAGCCAAATGACAGTCTATCCTTGTGGCTCTGTGCCGGCCAGTGCCTCCAAAACAGGAAGTGGAGATCTGTGAGTCATTCAAGGGAGGGTGGTGGTGAAAAAGAGGGGAGAAGTCCTTCCAGAGCAGTCATGCTCTAAACAGCCACAACTGCTTCCCCAACATCATCGGGGCTAATTACCAGCAGGCAATTGGGGGGTTTTCTTGGCCCGACTACCTGGTTTGAGCTGGGGGTAGCAGCACCGCCAGTGTGTGACAGGCCGGAGTCTGCCTTGTACGTTGTCAGGGGACAGTGGCTTGGGCACAAGGCGGAGCAGGGGCTCTGGGGCCACACTCCCTTCCTTAGCTTGGTGATCTTGGGTCTATGATGCAGCCTGTGGCTGGGCTGTCTTAATGCTAGTGTCTCCCACACTTGCCAGATTACAAGTGTACCTGGGGTGCTTTATCAGCTGTATGAATTCTCAGGCTCTACTGGAGATTTTGATTCAGTAGGTCTGGAATGGGGGCTGGGAATTTGTACAATTATCAAGCAACTCAGGTGATTATGATCATGCTAATTGGGGATACCGCTTTATGCGTCATGAATGGTGCCTCTACTGGGCAACGTTCAGAACCAAAAGAGTTCAGGTGAGCCTTGAACTTGCACTTGAATATCACCACCTACGTGGAAAGGTGAGAGACACTTGAAGATGTGCTTATGGACAGCATGGAGTCTGCTGCCTGTTTACTTTCTTACCTGCGGCCATGATTCATAGGGATGTCTTCAAGTCCCCAGGAAAGTTTGTTGTTATAAGTGTTCCGTTGTCGGCAGTGGAGGCTTAGTAAATGTTTACTGGTGATGGCAGTGACAACTCATTGCCCTGCAGACTTTACTTTGTCCCTTTTGTAGAAAACCCTATGCTGAAAGTGAACCCAGAAACTTCGTGGAAATCAGGGGCCTGAGGACACCTAGGAATTTGGGGAGCCTGGTTGGTGGATAGTTTCCAAATCCAACACCTGCTGTTGGGGAGGACTCCCTTTTCTTAACCTAGTAACTCATGAGCTCTTAGGAAACAGGAGATGGGGCATTAGGAATGCGGAGCAGGAAGCGTATACTTATTGGTAAAATAGAATTATGTGTGCTAATGAGTTTTGGAAATAACCCTAATCGTATTTGGTGCTGATGCATGTTTTTCTTCTTTACTGAAATTTCAACTCAAGAAACATTAGTGAGGAATCAGTCACAGCCAAAGAGCTGGGCAAGGATTTGCAAGGATACAAGAGTAAATCATTCAATAAAGACGCAGACGTAGAGAATGGACTTGAGGACACGGGGAGGGGGAAGTGTAAGCTGGGACGAAGAGAGTGGCATGGACATATATACAGTACCAAATGTAAAATAGATAGCTAGTGGGAAGCAGCCGCATAGCACAGGGAGATCAGCTCGGTGCTTTGTGACCACCTGGATGGGTGGGATAGGGAGGGTGGGAGGGAGACGCAAGAGGGAGGAGATATGGGGATATATGTATATGTATAGCTAATTCACTTTGTTATACAGCAGAAACTAACACACCATTGTAAAGCCATTGTACTCCAATAAAGATGTTTAAAAAAAGCACCCCTATGAACTTAAAAAAAAAAAAAAAGAGTAAATCATTCAAATCCCTGCTATCAAGCCTGATAGCAAAAGCAGACATCCCAACACCTACTATACTAGAGGCAGGAGATGAGTCCCGAATAGATGGGAATAAAAAGAAAGGCGTGATTCATTCTCAGAGTGTTTTTTTTTTTTTTTAACATCTTTATTGGAGTATAATTGCTTTACAATGGTGTGTTAGTTTCTGCTTTATGACAAAGTGAATCAGTTATACATATACATATGTTCCCATATCTCTTCCCTCTTGCGTCTCCCTCCCTCCCGCCCTCCCTATCCCACCCCTCTAGGTGGTCACAAAGCACTGAGCTGATCTCCCTGTGCTATGCGGCTGCTTCCCGCTAGCTATTTTACATTTGGTAGTGTATATATGTCCATGCCACTCTCTCACTTTGTCACAGCTTACCCTTCCCCCTCCCCATATCCTCAAGTCCATGCTCTAGTAGGTCTCTCAGAGTGTTTTTGTTCTTACACTTCCTTTCACTGACAGATTTTGTATTTGGTGGGATAAATAATACTAAAACACATGACAAAAATGACACCTGGTTGCTAGTTTGTTTCTTTGTCCACATCTAGGCAACATATGAGATTTTCCCTTTCCGGCTCTTTCAGGATATTTGTTAGACTAGATGAACTCATGGTGATCTGTACTCCATGCTTCTCATTCATTTCACAGGAACTTTGGTATCAGTACGCGAACTGGAGGGAATGTAAATCACGTGAGTTCCATTTTAGGTACCCCATGTGATTGCGTGGAGCCTTTTTGCAGACTTAGTGCATTAACTCTTGTAGGCATTTGGCCTCCATGTGACTGCTAAACCCTTTCCACAGCTGGGCTTTATTTGCCCATGTGAAAATCACTGATTAGATCAACTTTAAGACACATATACTCCAGGTAGTTATACGTGCAGCAACTTCTCCCAGCTAAAGAGGATTTACCGGATAGCCATCTGCAGCCAGAACTTGGAGAGATCCCTCACCCAGTGTCATCTGGCATTAACACTGTTGGTTCCAACTGGAGTTCCATGACGGTGGGAGCTGTCAGACCGTAAATCCCACACGGGCAAGGACTTTTATCCAGTGTTGCATCTCTAGTGTCTAGAAAAGTGTTGATCTCATAGCAGGTGCTCAACAAATACGAATAAATGAATGAACGAATCCCCCAAGCAAGGAACTGATAGACATTTTCTTTTCTCTTCCAGTTCATATCAGGTGTTAGTGCTTCCCCTGGCCCTCCAAAGCACATTTGTTTGTGATTCTGAAGAGGCTACCTCATTCTTTAGCAATGCTTCTGGTGCTGATGGATATGTGACGGCAGAACTGCTGGCCAAGGATGTTCCCGATGATGCCATGGAGATATCTATTGGAGACAGGCTGTACTATGGGAAATATTATAATGCACCCTTGAAAATAGGGAATGATTACTGCATTATATTACGAATCACAAGTGAATGGAATAAGGTATATTTCTTTAAAAACTCTTGTGAATTCTATATTTTCCTCTTCATGTGAAATTTAAATATTTGAACATTTGTTTTCCCAATATTTGAGATGAACACTGCTTGTAAGAACAATAAGAATGTGTTGAATCTTTTCACTTTATAAAGGATGAGCAGGTGAAACCTTTTTGGAGGTTGATGTTCTGAACTTGCTGGGGGACCTGTTTGGACTTAACTAGTTTGGGTTCTTCTTCTTAAGCTTCAAGAATGCCCTCATCCTATTGCACTGCTGAAGCCTGAGTTGGAGAGGAACATCTAAATCTTTCTGTCACTTCCCCATACTCCTGCCAGACTGCTGCCTCTCCTCATTCTCCAGGAAGCCAGCAGGAGGGGCAGATTAAGCTCAGCACTATTTTCTGGCTCTATTTTCTGCTTCCGTTATTTCCTTGGCTATTGCGTAAGCCTCACTCTCCTCTCTCCATCCTTAGAAAGGCTATGTTTTTCCAGTGCTGGTTCTTTCTTGAGACATACAACGATATATTCATTACAGAATGAATAGATGGGGACTTCCCTCGCGGTCCAGTGGTTAAGACTCCGTGCTTCCAATGCAGGGGGGTGCGGGTTTGATCCCTGGTCAGGGAACTGAGATCCCATCTACCATGCGGTGTGGCCAAAAAAAAAAAAAAAGAATGAATAAATATAATGAGCTGGACAAGCAGAATAGCAAGAGCTGGATGGGTCAGTCATGGGTGGAAGATCTAGAAGAAACATTGTGATGGTTGCCCTAGGAGGGCTCAAGGTTTGGTATCAATTCATATCGGTTGGTAATGGAAACTAGAAAAAATAATATTAATAGAAACATCTCTTGACTGATGAATTTGAGCCATCTTGCGTGTAAGGTTCATCACATATTTAAAACTGAAACACGCAATTAAATTCTGTATAGGACACAAGTTAAATGCGCCATTATCATGCTTGATATAAAACTAAGAATATGTCCAAGTAGCAAAAAGTTCTGGTGGTGTTTGTGGCAATTATGTAGGGATTAAGAATTGGAAGACTAAAGTCCAGAATATATTGCCCTGAATGTGTTCCAAAGGTGTTTATGACTTAGACAAGGCCTCCTTGCTGGAAAATTACCCAGAGATCCTGACTTGGTGTTTCTAGCCATAGACAACACGGGCAGTACCATATGTGTGCAACTTAGAGATTGCTCAGAGAGCTGCTGTCTCAGATTGAGACTTTGGTCTGGGAGGGTGTATTAGTTATCTTGGGCTGCCATTTCAAAATACCATAGACTGCGTGGCTTAAACAACAGACATTTATTTCTCATAGTTCTGGAGACGGGGAAGTCCAAGATTAAGGTGCAGGCTACTTTGGTTCCCTGGGGAGGACCCTCTTCCTGGCTTGCAGACAGCTGCCTTCTTGCTGTGTCCTCATGTGGTGGGGACTGAGTGATCTCTGATCAGTCTTCCTCATCTTATGGACCCTGATCCCATCATGTGGGCCCTACCCTCATGACCTCATCTAAACCTAATTACATTCCAAAGGCCCTACCTCCAGATAACATCACATTGGGGGTTAGGGCTTCAATATGGATCAATATCAATTTGGGGCACAAAGAGAATGAGGTGGGAGGTTACGATAAGAATTCTAGTTTATAGGGAACTTTCCTGTGATGTCATTGATGCCTCTTTTTCCTACAGCTAAGCGGAACACGTGCTTGTTCTTTGAAATAATTTATATTTGGACTCACATATTTGAATTGCTATTACTTCCCCTGTGGGTTTCAAATATATTAGTGTTGCAGTCATATTAAAATCAGTAGTGATTTATTTATTTATTTTTCTTTTTAAAACAGCTTTACTGAGATGCAATTCATATAATTCTAAAGTGTACAATTCAATGGTTTTTAATATATTTACAAGATGGTGGTAATGCAACGATCACCATCTAATACTCAGACATTTAGCAGTGATAATTTTTAATATTTATTTTTAATTGTGGTAAAATACACATAAAATTTACCATCTTAACAATTTTTAAACTAACAATTTGGTAGTGTCGAGTACACTTACACTGTTAAGAAACCAATCTTCAGAACTTTTCATCTTGCAAGACTGAAACTCTGTACCCATTAAACAACTCCCCATTCCTCCTCTTCTTCCCCAACTCCTGGCAACTACCCTTTTACTTTCTGTCTCTATGAATTTGACTAGTTACCTTGTATAAGTAGACTCATACAGTATTTATCTTTTTGTGATTGTCTTATTTCATTTAGCATAATGTCTTCAAGGGTCACTCATGCTGTAGCATGTTTCAGAATTTCCTTTCTTTTTAAGGCTGAATAATATTCCATTGTACGTATGGATAAACATTTTGTTTATCCATGATCTGTAGATGGACACTTGGGTTGCTTCCATCTTTTGGCAATTGCAAATAATGCTCCTGTGACCATGGGTGTTCACATATATCTTTGCGTCTCTGCTTTCACTTCTTTTGGGTATACACCTTCAAGTGGAATTGTTGGATCGTTTGGTAATTTTATTTTTTTAACTCTTTTTGAAGATCCCCATACAGTTTTCCATAGCCACTGCACCACTTTACACTCCCACCGACAGTGCACAAGCATTCCATTTTCTCCACAACCTCCCCAACACTTGCTGTTTTCTGTTTTAATGATGGCCTTCCTAATGGATGTGAGGTGGCTTCACATTGTGGTTTTGGTTTGCATTTCCATAATGATTTATGATGTTGAGCTTATTTTCAGGTACTTTTGACAATTTGTGTATCTTCTTTGGAGAAATGGTTATTCAAGTCCTTTGCCCATCTTTGAAGTGATTTATTTCTTTGTTGTTGAGTTTTAGGAGCTTGCTATATATTCTGGATATGTGATTTACAAATATTTTTTCCCATTATGTGAGTTGCCTTTTTACTCTGTTGATAGTGTCCTTTGATGCACAAAAGTTCTTAATTTTGATGAAATCCAATTTGCCTGTTTTTTCTTTTGTCGCCTATGCTTTTGGTGTCATATCTAAGAAATCACTGTCAAATGTAATTTCCTGAAGCTTTTCCTTTGTGTTTTCTTCTAAGAGTTTTAAGTCTTATATTTAGGCTTGATCCATTTTGGTTAATTTTTGTATATGGTGTTAGGTAATGGTCCTACTTCATTCTTTTGCATGTGGTTATCCAGTTTTCCCAGCATCATTTTTTGAAGATTTCCTTTGCCCATTGAATGGTCTAGGTACTCTTGTCAAAAGTCATTTGAGGGAATTCCCTGAAAGTCCAGTAATTAGGACTCCACGCTTCCACTGCAGGGGGCATGGGTTTGATCCCTGGTCGGGGAACTAAGATCCTGCGTGCTGTGAGGCACAGCCAAAAAAAAAAGTCATTTGATATATATGCAAGAGTTTATTTCTGGGCTCTCTATACTATTCCATTGGTTTGTATGTCTGTCTTTAGACCAGTACCACACTTTTTTTTATTATTACTACTTTTTATTGGAGTACAGTTGATTTACAATGTTGTGTTAGTTTCTGCTGTACAGCAAAGTGAATCAGTTACACATATACATATATCCACTCCTTTTTAGGTTCCTTTCCCATATAGGTCATTACAGAGTATTGAGTAGAGTTCCCTGTGCTATATACTAGGTTCTTAGTACCACACCATTTTGATTACTGTAGCTTTGTAAATCAGGAAGTGTGAGTTTTCCAGTTCCCCTTTTTGTTTTTCCTTCTGTATATCTGTCCCAATAAACATCATTACCATGTTCCCGGTTGTCAAGACAGAAATCTAGGAATAATTCTTGTCTCCTCCCTTTTTTCTTATCTTCTTGTGCAGCCCGTCATTAAATTGTGTCAATTCTATCCCATTAATGCCATTTAAGATCATCCTTTCATCTCTTTCATTAACAGTGTTTAGCTTTTGACATCTCTTGTCTGAACATCAATTTTCTAACTCATTTTCTTGTCTCTTATTCTACCTATCTCCTTGCTCCATACTACTGCAATCATGTATTTCATAAAATGCACATCTGATCAAGGCACTCCATTTTAATGAACTCCCTTCTTCACCTTGCCATTTCAATTTCTCTCTTTTAATACACTCAGTTCCCTAGTAACTGCCTTGCTGTCTGAGGTCCTTTTTCTTCCTCAGTGTCTTGAACTATACCCTTCACTGGTTACTCTTGCATATTATCTTTTATTTTAATTAATTAATTATTTAATTAACATCTTTATTGGAGTGTAATTGCTTTACAATGGTGTGTTAGTTTCTGGTTTATAACAAAGTGAATCAGTTTTACATATACATATATCCCCATATCTCCTCCTTCTTGTGTATCCCTCCCACCCTCCCTATTCCACCCCACTAGGTGGACACAAAGCACAGAGCTGATCTCCCTGTGCTATGTGGCTGCTTCCCACTAGCTCTGTTTTACATTTGGTAGTGTATATATGACCATGCCACTCTCTCACTTTGTCCCAGTTTACCCTTCCCCCTCCCCGTGTCCTCAAGTCCATTCTCTATGTCTGCGTCTTTTTTCATGTCCTGCACCTAGGTTCTTCAGAACCTTTTTTTTTTTTTAGATTCCATATATATGTGTTAGCATACAGTATTTGTTTTTCTCTTTCTGACTTACTTCACTCTGTATGACAGCTCCATGCACCTCACTACAAATAACTCATTTCGTTGCTTTTTATGGCTGAGTAATATTCCATTGTATATATGTGCCACATCTTCGTTATCCATTCATCTGTCAATGGACACTTAGGTTGTTTCCATGTCCTTGCTATTGTAAATAGAGCTGCAATGAACATTGTGGTACATGACTCTTTTCGAATTATGGTTTTCTCAAGGTATATGCCCAGTAGTGGGATTGCTAGGTCATATATGGTAGTTCTATTTTTAGTTTTTTAAGGAACTTCCATACTGTTCTCCATAGTGGCTGTATCAATTTACATTCCCACCAACAGTGCAAGAGGTTTCCCTTTTCTCCACACCCTCTCCAGCATTTATTGTTTGTAGATTTTTTGATGATGGCCATTCTGACCGGTGTGAGGTGATACCTCATTGTAGTTTTAATTTGCATTTCTCTAATGATTAGTGATGTTAAGCATCCTTTCATGTGTTTGTTGGCAATCTGTATATCTTCTTTGGAGAAATGTCTATTTAGGTCTTCTGCCCATTTTTGGATTGGGTTGTTTGTTTTTTGATATTGAGCTACATGAGCTTCTTGTAAATTTTGGAGATTAATCCTTTGTCAGTTGTTTCATTTGCAAATATTTTCTCCCATTCTGAGGGTTGTCTTTTTGTCTTATTTATGTTTTCTTTTGCTGTGCAAAAGCTTTTAAGTTTCATTAGGTCCCATTTGTTTATTTTTGTTTTTATTTTCATTTCCCTAGGAGGTGGGTCAAAAAGGATCTTGCTGTGATTTATGTCATAGAGTGTTCTACCTATGTTTTCCTCTAAGAGTCTTATAGTGTTTGACCTTACATTTAGGTCTTTAATACACTTTGAGTTTATTTTTGTGTATGGTATTAGGAAGTGTTTTAATTTCATTCTTTTACATGTAACTGTACAGTTTTCCCAGCACCACTTATTGAAGAGGCTGTCTTTTCTCCACTGTATATTCTTGCCTGCTTTATCAAAGATAAGGTGACCATATGTGCGTGGGTTTATCTCTGGGCTTTCTATCCTGTTCCATTGATCTTTCTGTTTTTGTGCCAGTACCATACTGCGTTGATTACTGTAGCTTTGTAGTATGGTCTAAAGTCAGGGAGCCTGATTCTTCCAGCTCCGTTTTTCTTTCTCAAGATTGCTTTGCTATTCGGGGTTTTTTTGTGTTTCCATACAAATTGTGAAATTTTTTGTTCTAGTTCTGTGAAAAGTGCCATTGGTAGTTTGATAGGGATTGCATTGAATCTGTAGATTGCTTTGGGTAGTATAGTCATTTTCACAATGTTGATCCTTCCAATCCAAGAACATGGTATATCTCTCCATCTGTTTGTATCATCTTTAATTTCTTTCATCAGTGTCTTATAGTTTTCTGCATACAGGTCTTTTGTCTCCTTAGGGAGGTTTATTCCTAGGTATTTTATTCTTTTTGTTGCAGTGGTAAATGGGAGTGTTTCCTTAATTTCTCCTTCAGAGTTTTCATCATTAGTGTACAGGAATTGCATGTTATCTTTTAGTAAATGCACTTGATGCACTAAGCATCAAGGCAAAATTTAGTCACATTCAAAACCTTGTGGCCATTTTAAACTTTTCCCAGAATTTATCAGTGTAAATATATTTTTTCAATTTTTAATAAAATAAACCCAGACTGACTAAGGCTGTCACTTGAAAGAGAATTACTTAATGAAGTTGAAGGGATCTTTCTTTAACCTCTACTATTTGGTGTCCTCTGGGGAATTTTTTGCTGACTTTTATCATAAATCAATGGTAATCCTAGCATTCCTAACAGACAAATATGCCTATAATATCAGCAGGGGAGAAGAAGAGAAGGTATTTCATTCCAATGAGTTTGTGGGTTGCTTCTACCATGGATGAGCTTTCATACATGTTCCTTTAGCTTTCTTCCTGGTTCTTGGCTATGTTTTGGGTAACTGAGTTTGCCTGATAAATATCATCTAGAGAAGTGAAGTATTTGTATATACCAGCCCGTCTCATAGCCTTGCACATAACATGCATTACTACTTCTTGGTGAACCTGGATGTGACCCCAGAATCCTTTTCAACATACTGTAGTTCTCCAGGCAGTCAGTGACAGTTGGTGAGAGCTGGCAAGGGGAATGGAACTTACCACCATCCCTGCTCTTTGCTCATAGCATGTGCTTCCTGAGATCCATTGGAAAGCTTTAGGGTCATCCATTCCTAAGGTCACTTCTGTCTCTGCTGCCCACGCCAGTCCTTTTGAACACTTGGTGATCATAAGACTAAATTGTAAGATGTTAGAGCTAGAAGAGATTTTAAAGATCGCGTGGTCCAAAATAAGAGATAAAACCCTGCAACTTGGAGGGCTAAAGTGTGTTATTTAAACTGACATCACATGCCACCCAATTACATGTGTTGCTGTGTTTTCCTTTATAGGTGCGAAGAAGCTCCTGTGCAGTTTGGGCTCAGGTAAAAGGTAAAACCATTTTCTGCCTAAGACTGTTCTCCTTATTTCTCCTCTGTCCACTCTGCAGCATCAGGTGTATGTTAATGAGATTTCTTTTTAAATTGTCACAGGTGACAAAAACACATCTCAGACTAGCCTACAAAAAACCATAGCTGAAAAGGATGAGGGGTGGGAACTTATGGAATTAGAACCAGAGTGGCATCACCAGGCCTCCAGAAACTGAGACTTGGGACTCAACACCATAAGTAGGACTGTCCCTTTCTATCTGTCTCTATCTCCTCTCTAAGTGTGAGTTGGCCTCATTTTCTTCTACTATAAGCTATGTGGTGGTGGGGGGGGGGGGGGGGACCAGCTGCCCCAGCTTAGCCACTTCAGTGGGAACAGATAGTTTTTCAATTCAGGGAGTCTCTTCTCCTAGCTAAGTGACTATCCATTGGATGAATCACTATTAAGAGGAGATAGGGTAGTATGATTAGCCTACCTTGGGTTTGGGGCTTACTGGTATGGCTGGTTGGGGGCAGATCAATGTGATCAGCAACCTCACCAGGGTTGCATTGAGAGGGGGACATGATCTCCATCCGGAAGAGGCACAGAAAACCATGTTGGCAGACCAAAACAAAGAACCACAAGCAGTCCACTACTTTCAACCATTTGGCTACTTAGCATGTGCACACACATACACATACACTATTTAGAAAAACACCCTCCATTAAGAAAGTGAAATTATCCTCCATACAACCAAAAATGGAACCCAAGTAGAAGACAGCTCAAAGGTGGGTCTCCTACTGAATCCAGCTCCAAGACCAGGGTTCCTGGGGATGATCCGTCTCTCTTGATCTAATTAATCTAGATGCGCTTCTCATGATCTGTTAGCAATCTATGATTAATGGCAAACTTAACCATTCTCAAACCACAGTATATAATATGAAAGGGAAAGGTGGATAATCACAATAAGTACGTTCATTTAGAAAGGAAGAAAAGATAAAGAACCGTGCAGTGGCCAGGGGGCCCATAACAAGGACCACATCCTGCTGGACAGGAAAGGCAAGCATCTCCTGCCCTGGCAGCAGAATGGGTCACTTGGTCAGTTAGTTTGGCTGCCTCGGGCTCTGCCTGATGGGAGAGCAGCCTTGTCCCTTTCCTCCAGAGCCTTCCCTAAGAGATGCAGAGAGAAGGAGCCCCACTGAGTGCCTACAACTTAAACCGTCTGCTTCATGGGGGCAGTTATCTGGGTGGCGGAGTTGCCTTAGGGATTGAGCAATCACAGGTCCTTGTTTGTCAGGCTGGGATTTCCCTGGCAGTACATTTCTTTAAACCAACAGGCAGCCAGCCACTGGATTTGATTCATAAGAATTCCATTAGTTTGTAGCTAATACCAGAAATCTTGTCAAGTTTATGACCTTTTGAGTCTGGAACTTTTCCTTGTGGTTCATGAATCCTAGCAACAGCCTGAGGAGTTCTGCTCTTAGCCCAGAGTATCGGTTTAACTCCTTACATCCTGTCCCTCACCTCAGAGCATCATAAAACAATAGGCTGGGGTGCTTCCAGGAGGGTTCCAGTGGATGGTGCCTTACAATTGGGGGATTTGTTACCCTGTCTGTAGAGGGTACCTAGCAGGAAATGTTTGGGAGGAACCTGGAGAAATAAGCTTCCTTCGTTTTCTGCTTATCCCCTAATCTCATTTCCCATGTCTTTATCTCTACTCACACCAACTTCAACAAGGGTAGGGGGCATGGATTTTCAACTGGGCAAGGCACATTACCTGACTGTCAGCCATCTTGGATTGAAGATTGCCAGGCCGCAAGGGCCTCTCTCTCTTTTTTCAATTTTCTTGAGAAAATAATTTACATATAACGTTGTGTGAGTTTAAGGTGTACAATGTGATGATTTGATTCACGTACTTATTGCAAAATGATTACCGCAGTAAGGTTAGTTAATACCTCCATTACCTCACATAATCACCATATATATATGTAATTTATGTATATAGGTATATGTATATATTTATATATATAATTTGTGTATATGTATGTGTGAATATTTAAGATCTACTCTCCTAATATCTTTCAAGTGTGCAGTACAGTACTGTTAACTACAGTCAACATGCTGTACATTAGAATATGTCCCAGAACTTAATTATCTTACACCTGGAAGTTTGTACCCTTTGACCATCATCTCCCCGTTTCCCCCACCCCCAGCCCCTGGCAACCACCGTTCTATTCTCTATTTCTATGAATTCAGCTTTTTTAGATTCCATGTATAAGTGAGATCATTCTGTATTTGTCTTTCTCTGTCTGACTTATTTCACTTAGCATCATAAGTGAGGGCCTCTTTTTTTTTTTTTTTGCATTTTCTCTCTATATATTTTTAACATCTTTATTGGAGTATAATTGCTTTACAATGGTGTGTTAGTTTCTGCTTTATAACAAAGTGAATCAGCTATACATATACATATATCCCCATATCTCCGCCCTCTTGCATCTCCCTCCCACCCTCCCTATCCCACCCCTCTAGGTGGTCACAGAGCACCGAGCTGATCTCCCTGTGCTATGCGGCTGCTTCCCACTAGCTATCTGTTTTACATTTGGTAGTGTATATATGTCCATGAGTGAGGGCCTCTCTTAACAAAGATGTGCGCTCTTACATTTCTGCATGCAGATAGACTAAGCCCCCTTTCTTAGAATTGAATAATGGCCACAAAAAAACAATCATGCATTCCGACATCTGGAAATTTTTCTGCCAATCCATTCCCTGAAGCTTTAAGGGCGGGATGGAGTTCCTACAGGAAAAGAGGTGCTTTTACCAGAAGAATGGAGATGTGCAAGCATCATGGACAGGCACAGATACGATAGCTTCCAGAATCCACTGCTTTCAGCAGCTGTTCAGTGTGATTAACAAACTCAAACTGGGTAGAAGAAATGGCCAAAGAGCTGGCTACAGTCATTCTACTGTGATTAAGTTAACAGGAAGGATTTTGCTTTGGAAATATCTAAGTGGCTTTTGGCAGCGCTTTTTTCCCCTCATGTTGAAAGAGAGTCTGAACCTTTGAATTCAAGCTACTGGAAAGAGCTGAGATAATAGAAAACCCAGTTATGTTGAAGTTTTGAAGGCAGCTCGAGCAGGTATACGTCTACATACAGAATGGGTTGTGTGCTCACCTGGCAGTCTCCTTTTGCCAAAATTTTGGAGCCTGCCATTTCAGAAAGTAATTTGGAGAGAACTAGAATCCAAATAAGTCCTCAAATTGTTTCAGTTTCACTCATGCCAAGCAACAGCCCCATTCTTGCCTTTGCCCTCTGATGAATTATGCTACTTACCTTTTGCACATTGCCCCTAAAAGAGCTTTGTGATGACTCTCAGGGAGCCAGCAGTCGGTTTGATGGGAAGTGCAGAGGCCTGGGCTTCTTTGCCCGAGTCCTGCTACTAACCAGCTGAGTGTCTTGGAAATTATATTTAACTTGGCTGGTTCTCTGTTGCCTTCCTCCAAGATCTCTGCGATCCCTTCCAGCCACAAAGTACTATGATTCTGTGCTTTCTTGAGTCACTGAGCAAGGTCATTTGATATACGTGAGATGATGATAAACTCTAACCAGGGAACATCCGTTAGTCATGGGCATGAAAGCTCTGAGTCATTAGTGACTACTCCTCTTTCTCATTTAGCCCACATTTTGCACTTGGGCAGACCTCTCTGATTGTCATTTCTGTGTTCACTCCCTGAGCAGAGGCCTTTGGATGGCTGGCCAAGCCTCTTTCTCATCTCCCATCACAGTGTTCAGGTTTCCCTCTTCACTCGAGCCTACACTACCCCCTGACATGTTCCCGCCACAGTTCTCCAGTATTTCTTTTTCTTCTTTCCAAGGCCTCAGTTGGACACCAATGTACCCTTCTGATTGCATCTCTCATTCTTCTCCATTCAAACCGATGTGGCAGCTCTTCTCTGGATATGGCCCTTGCTTTCTCTCCTTAATGTCTTGCTCATACGATTATGTACTTACTTCCACCTGGATTGCCCTATAACCTTCCTGTAATTTCTGTTTATTACAACCCCTCCTGTTCTTCAAGATTAAAATCAAATGCCATCTCCTCCTTGACACTTTTTAAAATTTCCTCAACAGGGCAGGATCTCTCTCCCTCCCTCTCTTTAGCCATTCTGCCACACTTCTGAGTCACTGGTATACTTGTTTTTTCTTACTAGATTTCATACGCTTGAGAGAGAGCATTTGAAGGCTGGAGCAGTGCCTGGCACACAGTAGGTGCTCAGTCAGAATTTATTGAATTGAGTTGAATGATTACTGGGGAACCAACAGTACAGTCTGGTGAGAAAAGAAGCATAGTGGGTGCAATACTTATCAAATAAGCCAGAGAAGATTAACATCAAGGTATAAGCTTAGTGTGTACATTATCTATGCATATGCTATGTGCATGCATGTATACACATATACACTCACACTCATTTTATTTTATTCTTTTGTAACATCTTTATTGGAGTATAATTGCTTTACAATGTTGTGTTAGTTTCTGCTATATAACAAAGTGAATCAGCTATATGTGTACATATATCCCCATATCCCCTCCCTCTTGCGTCTCCCTCCCACCCTCCCTATCCCAACCCTCTAGGTGGTCACAAAGCACTGAGCTGATCTCCCTGTGCAATGCCGCTGCTTCCCACTAGCTATCTATTTTATACTTGGTAGTGTATATATGTCAATGCTACTCTCTCACTTCATCCCAGCTTACCCTTCCCCCTCCCCGTGTCCTCAAGTCCATTCTCTATGTCTGCATCTTTATTCCTGTCCTGCACCTAGGTTCTTCAGAACCTTTTTTTTTTTTTTAGATTCCATATATATGTGTTAGCATACGGTATTTGTTTTTCTCTTTCTGACTTACTTCACTCTGTATGACAGACTCTAGGTCCATCCACCTCACTACAAATAACTCAATTTCGTTTCTTTTTATGGCTGAGTAATATTCCATTGTATATATGTGCCACATCTTCTTTATC